ATCATGTATTTCCATACAACTTTCGTTCGAAAAATTTTTCAATAAAATTATCGATTAGCGAGATAATCGACCATATCATTTAAAATGAAACATCCTGTATATGCACACATATGTGCAGAAGATTTATTATCTCCTTTAAATTTGTATCTTAGATATTTCAGATTAGATCATCTGAAAATATTGTCGACGAATTTTGTTTACCATTGATGTATGTGGTGACTATTATTTTATATATGTTTCTATCCAACAATATGGGACAGAATATAATAGATTATAATAATTACGTACTCTCTACTGCGTAAGAAACATTTTATGATGAGTATACGAATGTTTGCACGGAAAGAATGATTTTGCTAAAATTGAGATAGTTAAATGAGTTTTTTGGTCAATAATTGTTGAAGTAAATGCTTTCGACAAGCTCGGGACAAGGTGATCGATAGCATTATATTTGTCGCGGATTCATTAATTCGAATTCTATAATAAATCGATGGCAATATCAATTTGTTATTCGTAAAAGGGATAAATTATGATAGCAACTTTACAATAATTGGTGTTGTTAATTTGTCATTTATAATTGGTAGCAAAAGTATTCTTTCTATATATCTTTTAAGAATTATTTCATCAGATGTAAAAATTAATGTTCTTGCAAAACAAATTAGCATAGCTGAAAATAACTAACGACTTTTTTTTGTCGATTAGCAATTCGTTTTATCTATGTACAATTTCATAGGTACAACGTTCAGTGGTATAAAGCTCCGTTATGTATACAGAGAATGATACTGTTTCTATTACAAAGAGAAACTAAGGTATTTACTCTGAATTTAGGAGGAGTATTTATTGCATCTATGGAGAATTTCGCCATGGTAATATATTATCAACAATAATTTATACTTATAACCATATTATAAATAAATATTGTAAAAAGAAATGTTTTAATTGCAGTTAGTAAAGACTTCGGTATCTTATTTTACTGTCATATATTCTATGCTGTGACAAAATAAATATAAATTTAATAATAGAATGATAAAAATCTAATGAAAAAACGAGAGTACTCATATTTAGAAAAAATGGTTTTATTTTAGATTATTTTAGATTATTTTTTAAGCATGTAATTTAATTATAAAATTTAGTTAAGAAAAATATAATAAATTAAAATTGTCCAAATAAAGATGTTAGTATTAGATCGTAGCAATGTATTCAAATTAAGTAATCTATGTATTTATACTTAAAAAAAATCACGTAATTTCAATTGTTGTAGATATTGCTTTTAAGTAACTTTTTACCTGCAATTTGCTGTCGACACGTTGAACATTTTTCTCCTAAATAATATAATAATTGAAATACTTAGAAATATTTTAATTATTTGAAATTTTTGTCAGTCAATACCACAACAAATGTAAAAAGATAAGCGTTATAATCACTAATAAACAATATTTCTAACTAGATAGTTAATACACCAAACTGTTAAAAATATTAATCACGCTGATCCTTAATTGATATTTAACAGTATGTTAATTTAATGCAATTATTTTTAAATTATAAATTTTACCATGCAGATCCGATATAAAAAAATTAAAATTAAGAAATATTCCTTTCGAAGGTCAAATGTGACTTATGAGTGTGCGTAGAAGTTACAAAATTGAAAAAAGGTGGAATGCATCTAACTTTTCTGAAGCTTTTCAATAGCTTAATTTCGTGAGACTCATCCGCTGTATTACTTTATACGATAAATAGATCCCATATAAATAATATTATAAAGAATAATATAGTACACGGGTTATCAGAAATTCTCTGAATCCAATTCTGATCTCATGGCAGACTGCACATCTGGGCATTATAATCAATTAAAAAAATTTGCGTTAAAATTTATGTAAAAGATTTATGTAAGAGAAAAACGTTATAAAATATTTAATCGAAAAAATTGAAGTTAACAATTAAAGTGTAACAAATTAACTATAGTAGCGAGATTTTAGACTTTTACGCATTTCAGACTTTTCAGATTTTTTAGATTGATAGAGAAAGCTACTAAAGAAGCTTTATTGCCTGTGCTATTTGCAACTGTTTTCATTCTACATCTGTTCATATCGAATTCTCTTGGACAAAATATGACAGATCACAACAAATACGTATTTTTTACTGTGTCTGTCGAAAGACAATAAAAAGAAGTTTTACTTTACAAATTTTTAAACTAAAACAAATATTTAATGTCATTAGTATTGTATGATTTACGTAAAATATTGAAAATTATTTGTAATAATTTTCTTACTTGTCTCTCAAATTATGGATTTTTGTCTTAATAATTTATGTAAGTATAGAGTTGTATGGTATGTAAGTTCTTGTATATCCAAAGGATGATATTCTTCCTATAGATAAAAGTCGTCAAAAATTTCCATCTGAATTGGTGGCTGTTTATTCCATCATTAGAGTCACAATAAGATTATATAGTGTTTTCTTGAATATACTGTAATACATTAAAAGTACGCAATAATATGGTTGCAGTTGATAAAAACTTCAATATTTTATTTTACTATCGTATTATCTGCACAGTGAGAAGAGAAATATGAATCAAATATGAGCATAAGAAGGTATATGTTCGATAGAAATAAAACAGCCTTTTTCACATTAAAAAAAAATGCAAAATCAAAAGTATTCAGCAACATAAGATTAAATCTCGGTTCAATTTAGTCTTTATTTTTTTTCTAATTTGAAGTATTATATAAAGCTAAATAGTAAGTTAAACTTAGATTATAATTAATTTTACATTGATGAACCGAAACTAAAACGTAAACATATATTAAAATTGTACATATTGTGAAAATATAAACAACAGATTCAATTAATTTATTGTAGAATC